CCCTGCCCCCCAATTCTGGACCCCAAACACACATACACTAGAATACCTAGGAAGCCTGACCTGCCCTGAGTTACATTAAGACGGGCAATAAGCTCCTCCCTGAATGTTTTACTCATCTCTCTAATCTTCCCTACCAATCCAGCCACCGAGTGCAGTGCCTGGTAGAAAAGGGGCCCATACGTCCACTTGGAGAACGGAGTTTCATGATGCAAAAACACTTGCGTGGGTTTCTAGGTGCCCCTCCATGCCCCCACCCCGACCGGGGCAATAAATTCCCCCGAACTGCTGACAGAACATCCAAATCGGTCACTCTTCCTGGAGCGGAACTTGACGGAGCCCAACCCGTGTCATTCATGTCATAGCCTCTGAAAGGCCATCCTTGGCCACCCATCCACAGTCACACCATGTCTCACCACCCCCCCCAGCAGCGTGTGCACGCACTCTCTTTCTCTCTCTCTCACACACACACACACAAACACGTTAACATTCCAAAACTCATACCGTCCCTGTGTTGGCTGGCTAGAACGTACATTCCACGAGAGGGGGGAACCCTGGGCGTTCTAGTTCTCTGCTGTAACTTCAGCATCTACCATAGCGTGGGACACAGACACAGCAAACGCCTGTCACATAAGGCTGAGGGGACACCCTCCAGACATCTGCTACTTTTCTCTGACAGTCCCCTAAGGCTCCTCTCCACCTTCTGCAAGCCCAGCCGAGTTCCCTTCTCTGGGCATCAGGAGTCCTCGTTGCTCCACCAGTAGGTTAGCACTTCACTTCTTTCCCTTAAACTGCCTCAGACCAAATCATTTTGCAGCTCTTACCTCCCTAACTTGACTGCAAGTGTGTATATGCTCTGTCACCTTTGGAGAAGAAAGAATTTCAAATATGTGCAGCTAACGAAAACTGAGTTGTTCTTCACAGTACCAAGACTTCTTATTTGAACGACTCTGACTACAGAGACACATAAAACATTTCCTCTTTAAGCTGATTCTAATTCCACCATTCTGTGATGACTACAAGTCACTTAGACAGATACTATAAACTAGCTGGCATTCTCAGGGACTACTTATAGTTTTTATGAAGGATTATCTAAACCTCTCAAGTAACCTGAAGGAACTACATACTCTTCACAATTCACTGCCAGTTTTGTCATAAACCGCCCTATTTACTGTCCAGCTCTCAGCTATAAAAACTATTTGCTGCTATAAATAATTCCTCTCTCTAGTTTGTTGTGAACGGAAAAGTCAATAGGTCAGAAGCAGGCCAAAAACCAGGGTGAATCGGCACAGGGCGAGGCTCTGCCATGGGAAAGCAGAGTGGCGAGGCCCACCGCTTGTTCTGGGCTTAGAGAAATCCCCCATAAATACCGACTGATTAAATGAGTCACAAACTCATCCCTTCCTCTGCAAGGAACACAAACTCTCAGCCGCACGGTGTCAGTGGCACTTACTGTTACAACAGACCCGCCCACTCCGCTGAACTCTTCTACTACCTCGTTTGCTCTTGACAGCAACCCCAAGAGGCTAGGCAGTACAGAGGCCATTCGGTGTTAAAACATCCATTTTTACAGCTATGGAAACTGTACCCCAGATAGGTAACGTAACTTCCCCAGTCACACACCTGGTAGAAACCCAGGAGTCCCGTGTTTTACATGCCTTCCACTCAGCCCCTGTGTATGAGCCACTATTGTTTCTTGAGGGTAAAAGAACTTCAGGTAAGGCTCTTCTGTGGCCAGGAGACAGCAGGGCAACACCAAATTTGCTATTATAGTCTGTGTTTTAAAAGAACTTTTGCCAACAGTCATTATTTACTGCTAACCAGCAAATTCAATCTCTTATTTCTCACAATAACAAACAGGACACAAATCGAGAAGATGGTAAATTCTTCTAACTAACTATGGCCTTTCTATGTTACTTCTAAGATCACAATCTTCCTGTGGTGCAAATTAAAATAACCAAAGCATCGGACACTAAGAAACCCTCCCTCCTTCTCTACCTGCTGTCCCAAGAAATTCTCATGCTCCATCTCCTAACGGGCTACTCAGACATTTAAGAAGCTAGGCTGACTTACAAAGCTGAGAATCCAAAATTCTCGTTTGAAATGCCTCAAGTATGCACATCTTTGGCCCATGGCAAAACTGCATGCTCCCTGGTCAGAGACAATATGAACTGTGTTCTCCCAGCACCGTGTTCTCTTCCTTCGTTACAAGGTTTGTGTGGGTCTTTGTTTGCCAATCTGCCAACATTTATTGAGGGCCTATTCTGTGCCAGCCATCAAGGTGCGGATCAGCAACTTCCTGATTTAATGTCGGTCTCCCCAACCAGACTCCAGGCGACATGAGAAGAGTCACTGCTTCTTTTCTGCTCACCATTGCACTGTTCAACCTAGCAGAGTGCCTGGCACACAGCAGGGACTTCACAAACATGAACTGCATTAATGAATGATAAGAGAGACGGAGAGAGAGAGAGAGAGAGAGAAGGGGCCACTCTGTAAGGGAAGCGGGGCTTTTACTGCCCAGAACACGCCTCATGATCCCCCAGCAACGTGATGCATTCTGAAAGGCGCCACAGGCAATGCACAGCTGTAGGCATAGCAGCTGTCCTGCAAAGGAGCTAAGGCCCAGAACTCTGAAGAATTCGGCCCTTTGTTTCTCTCTGCCTGCCCCATAACCAAAATGAAGTTAGGTCCACTGTCAGACTACCTGTCAGCTACATGTCTTCAACATCTGGCTTTCAGAATTACTAAGCTAATGTGCTACTGAACGAAATTTATGTTGATTTACTCTCTGACATCACTGCCTGAAAAAATATTTAAACGTCTGAGGTCACACATAAGACCTAAGCAGAACCAAGTTAAAATAAAAAGTTCTCCGTTTCAGGTCTTTGCAAGCTATAAATTAGCTTTCACCGAGTAATTTAAAAGCAAAGAAGGTTTGACTCATTATTTAAACTCTCTAAACTTCAGGACTCTTTACCAGTAAGTTGTTCAAAACAGGGTATTAAGTTGCCAGAGCGAGCTTCATGCAAGTATTTTCATTAAAACCTAAGACTCAGTGGATTATATGCTTCCCAGAGTAAATACAAAAATAATAACAGGGATAACATGAACTACTTAATTCAATGTAAAAACCCAGCAATCTAGGCAGGTATAAAAATGTACATTTGTAAATTCATGTATCACTAATTAGACAAAAAGTTTATTTTCAGTTTTTTTTTCCTCCACATCCAACTAAATGAGCAGAAAAAAACATTTAGGGTTCAATAAAAAAGCAGAAAGTGATGCACACCAAAGTATGCTGAACAGAGAAAAACCTGAAAGAAGCTGCTAGGAAGCTACGAATATATTTAAATATATCATCAGTTATACTTAGTAGCAGAGTAAAGATCTCCCCCTCCCCCAAACTACCACCCCTGCAAATAAATCACAACTTACCTGGAGAGGCTGGTGGCATTACTCATAAATAAAATGAACACTAAATAAAGAAACAAACTGAAATATGTAAACAGTTTGCAAACAATTAGGTACTAAGCCTAAAAACAACAAAAATCTTAATACTCAGTTACAGCAGTAGAAAAAGACGCTTGGGAATTTTCTATACCCTGACCATCTGATGCAGGATCAAAGCATTTAATGGCCTAAAAACAATAATGAAATAACATTCGATAAAAAGAAAACACGTACTTAGGAAAAGACCCCCCCACACACAACTTTCTCTTGGATGAGTTAGTTGTATTCCCATTACACTGTGAAATATAAAGAATATGTAATGGGAAAAAAATCACAATCGACTTCTTGCCTACATTTCTAAACATTCTTTTTACATTCTTCCAAAATCATTTATGTTATGATTTCATTTACAGTTATGACTTCCACAACTCACTTGGCAATGTTCGGAGTAAAGGACGGACCCCTGTTCTGAGTAAAGGACGGACCCCTAAGTTCTGATGACTACAAAAATTTACGTAAGACCTAAGGCAGGCAAAAAAACCAAACGAACAAAAAAGGATTTATAGGACTAAGAAACTACCATGCCGTGCCTTGGCATATATTCAAACTGGGCTCTATGAAAGATTCACGAATTCACATTAAAATTCTTCATTAAAAAAAAAAAACAAACCCAACGTGTCCGAATTGAATGCCAGCTGGAAATAGGATACATCCAACCAAACTATTTTCCTACCCAGAATTATCCCCTCCCCTTTTTAAGTGTGACTACGCTTTATCTTTTGTTCGAAAACATCGTAAAACAAAATAAAACTACGGGAGTTGAGTCAAAAGTGACCCAACAGCACACTCTTCAACTTCCATTTTGTTAATGGCCTAATTTCGAGAAGGTCCGCCGTGCTCAGACCTTCGCCCACCCCGAGTGTTGCAATCGTGCGCAGGGCGGCGCGGCCCGGCCCGGCGAGGACAGGAGAGGAGAGGAGAGTGGCGGGGCCTGTCCCGGCCCGGCCCGGCCCCGCGCCCAGAGGAGTGGCAGGGCTCGGCGCGGCGCGGCCCGGGGCAGAGCGGCGGCGTCCGGCCCTTCCCGCACGGTCCCGGCTGCATCCGAGGCCGCCGAATCTGCGGACCTGGAAATGTCACTCTCGGAACACATTTCACGACGCGTTCGCTGGCCAACAGCACAAAAAGCTAAGAATATACCGGGCGTGCAGGGCTCGGGAGAGACCGGCCGCCGCTCCCACCCACGAGTGCGGCTATTTCGGAGGTTCCGAGCGAAGTGACAAGTAGCCCTCGGCCGGCCCTCCCGGCGCTCGGTCCGCTCACTTTTGCGCGCCCGGCTTCTCGGCCCCAACTTCGCCAAGAGCCCGAGCGCGGCGTCCGGCCGTGATTCAGCAGCGACCCGGGGTGGGGGGGGGGGGGGGGGCCGGGGGGCCGTGATCGCGGGCTGGGGCCGGGCCGGGAAAGGTCACCGAGAGCCGCGGGCGCCGCCCGGGCCCCAACTCGGCCGGGCGGCGGCGGCGGCGGCGGGGGGAAGCCGGGGCGGCGCGGGCGCCTACCTTTCCTGCTTTTCGGGGAGCTCCGCTTGCTCCGGGCGCTGGCTCGCTCTTCCTCAATCGCAGCTGCTATCTCGGGGTTGTCTTCCCCATTGTACCAGACCAGGAGCTCCTCACCCGGCGCGATTGGCTGCGGGGACAGAAGAGACAGGAGCCGGGCCAATCAGAGCGGCGGTTGTTGGCGGGGCGGGGCGGGGCGGGGGCGGGGCTCCCAGCTGGGGCGGCGAGCCAGGCCAGCCCGGCAGGAAGGGCTCCTTAACCCTTGGCTGCCGCGGGCCTCGGCGGCCGCGGGCACAAACCCTCTGCTGGAGGGAGGACCTCACTTCCCGGCCCGCCTCCTCTCCCGGGGGGCCGCGGGGGCGGACCTGCGGCTCTGCTGTCAACTCCAAACTGCCTTACCTTACCGAATCTTACTGTTCAAAGCCTCACGACTGCCCACGCAGAAGGAAAAATAAAACACGGAACCATTTTGCCCACGAAATCTAGGCTCATGAGAAATGTAAAGCGTAAGGGAAAGAACCCGACGGCTTGGAAAGAGAAGTGTTGAAAGCTAATTACCGACGTACGTTTCGGATGCCAAGAGCAAGTTCAGCATGATAAGAACTGTAAGTCACTGCACATTTATAAACGCACCGCTAATGATATCACGGAAATGCTAAAAGAAGAAGCGGGACGCAGGACGCAGGCGTCCCTGCACTATATTCTCTGTGCACTGCCACCAACCTGCTCGGGGCAAAGGAGAATCCACTGCCTTGCCCTCTGTACCAGACAACTTTTAAATGCAGAAGGAAGTGCCTAAAAAAACCACACAGGTACTATGCTCCTAAAACATTAACTCTGAAAAAGCCATGAGAGTAGCGAGGACACGGACCACGACCATGCTGATTACACCTAGGATCAGATCCTGAAGAAAAAGATAACCGAGTGGAAAGATCACATTACTAAATAGAATTTAAGGAAATGGCTTATTGGCTTCTCTCACAATGACTCATCTGTTCAAAAAGTTCCAAGGGTAACAACAAAAGTAAAAAGATTGCACCTAAAACCCACCGAATAAAATAAGAATCCATCAGTCCATTCTGATATAAATGTAATGAATGAACAAGTAAATAAATAAGAAGGAAAAAGCTCTTCCTTAAAGTAGATCCCAACTAATCAATAAAAAACAAATAATGGAATTAGAAAACCACCACTTGGCAATCAAAGCAGTAATAATTGACTCATCAACAGATGCTAAAACTAGTAGGTCTAAGTTTCAGGTGTAATAGAGTATTAGCATGGTCTCAAAACATCTCCCCATAAAACATGAATTACAAAGGTAAAAACAGTATCCTCAGAATGAGATAAATCAACATCCTGTGCCTCCTGATACAATCAATGCACAGGAAAGATTATCATCACCTCTGGAGATCTCTGCCCAAAATCCATGACCATAACTTAATCATGATGAAATATAAGAAAAGCCCAAACTGCGGGACATTCTACAAAATAACTGACAGGTTTGCTCAAAACTGAAAGGCTATACAAGACAAAGACTGACATACTGTCCACACTAAGGAGACTGATAAGCCATTACAACTGAATGCAACTGAGCTTTCTCTTCCTATAAGGACATGGTTGCAACAACTGACAAAATGTGAATAAGGTGTATAGATTAGCTAATGAAATACTGTGTCAGTGTTAGCTCCCGGATTTTGATCACTGCACTAGGATTATGGAAGAGGAGGCCCTTGGTTTTAGGTGCAGGTGAATTCCATCTAAGATGCCAGTTTAGAAACAGCACAGTTCCTCCTTTTAACATACCTTCTCGTCTAAATAAAGCCCTTGAAAGTAGACTTTATTTCGTTTCATTCTCTTCAGAACTCAGTTTATGTAGTCCGAATTTTAAGATATTCTAAATTCTTTGAAAGAACAAGCTACTGTTTCCTTTGCTCCACCAAGGATGGCTAAAACCTGCCATTTCCTTATCTTTAAACCAATATACTCTTATCTGCCTTCTTGAATCAGTTATACCTAAACCAAAAAACTAAATCTAACATATAATCTATTAATCAACTGAAATAGCCATTACAGATGTCTTTTGGCACTCTGATGAGCTAAATCTGTTTCTGCTGCAGGAACAGGCTTTTTATTTAAGTAAACTATTTCTAGTTCCAAATGTATAGTTTACTTCTCTTTTAGTTATAAATCACATATTGATGGAATGGCAGTATCCTCTAATATTTGAAATGATTAGCGTTCACAGAAATAAGTGAAATCTTCAATAAAAACCATAAAAAAGAAACACGGAATGGAGGGAGGAAAAAAATGTATTCCCGATATGTCCCTAACCCAAACAGCATAACCAGAACACTGGCTACAAGACACCCACTGGACATTTTCAAGATACCTACCAGACTCAGAGCTTAAAGTTTCCTTGTTCATTCCACTGCAGTCTTCTGCAGAGTACTGACTGCACTAGCAACTGTGTGAAGATTAATATCAGCACAAACTCTTTACTTAGGAGGCTACTCCTTTGTTGTTGCAAAACACAATATAAAACACAACAGAATCTGTTCTTAAATCTAATATAACATTTCTAAATAGCTAGTGAACAGCTAGGTTAAGAGCAACCTGATTTGTTAGCGATTGAACAACCTTCAAAACTGTTAGCAGCTGAGAGGATTATTATATTATTGAGCTTTTTACTTCCCCACTTCATAGTAAAACAGCGACACAACTAACAGATCTTTATGAAGAGGAAGATAATATATACTTTTTTTAATCAGTGCTTGTTTGCTTCAGTACTACATTGTTTTTTCTTCTGCACTGCTTAGCACATTTAAGATTTTGTAAGTCAAATTTCAGAAAAGAAAAACTATGTCCTTAAATATAGAACTATAAATGCACATCTTCAAAGCTGAAAGTCCAAACAACCTCTTTTTTATGTATTGTACTGGGATTTCAGCAAAACAAGAAGACTTTAAGATCCTTCAACTTTTGAGTTCTGACAGGCTTACAGAACCAAGCATACTCTCTTATCTAAGTATCAGTAAATATAAACTCAAAATTTTACCAGACCAATTAGGGAGAGACAAGGGTTCCAATAAATATTCCTGACACTAGGTCAAAATAAGAGAGATACTCCAGAATTACAAGAATACACAACACGTCAACGCTCAGCCACTTACAATCTAGTTACCAGCATGATCTCTTCCAAGTCACGGGTCAGACAGCCTCAGCTCTCAAACGGGTGAACTAAAGACTGAAATTCATCTTTCTCCCTGTGGGCCACAAGGCCCCACCTGATCTGACCCCTGACCACCTCACCAGCCTCATCTACCATTCCTCTCCTTGCTCCAGACACACTGGTCTTTATTCTATTCCTTAAAAAAAAAAAAAAATCTAGCTTATTCCTACTTCAAGGCCTTTACTTCTACTGGGCCCCTCTTTCTAGACTGGTCTTCCCGCAGAGGTCTTTGTGTGACTAGCTCCTTCCCATGCTAGGGGGGTAGGAAGGAGGGGGTTTTTATGTCTTGTCTTCCCTGACCCGCCGGGGGATAGATATAAAATTATATAATTTTGTACAATTTTTTAAAATTATAATTTTACTCATTGTTTATTTTCCATAAGCTGGAGTTCCATGAGACCAGAGACCTTATCTGTTCTGTTCACTACCACAGAAGAATACCTGGTACACAGGAGACTCTCAATAAATATTTATGAAATTAATGAAGAGATGAATGAATGGGTGGGAGGCCAACATCTAACTTTTGGAAATTTAAAATAGTTTTTAATCATACTACAAACAGGACCAGTGTTGAGATTTCCTAATTATCTGGGTGACAGTTGAGAAGGCTATACAGAGCCCAGAGGAACATCACGTGTAATTTATTTACAAAACCTACCCCACAGAAAGCTTAATCTAGAAGATTATAGTGAGATAATCACTAGCAAGGAATCTGAAAGGTCTTGTGCATACGTGAGCAAACATCAAAGGTCAGAACTGGGGGACGTCTGCAAAGACAGAACTATGTTACTTCAGACAAAGACAGGGAAAAAGAATGGCAATGGTACAGCCGGTTAACACTTGGGAATACTCCGGTTAGGCTAGGAACTGTTCACACAACCTTAAAACTAGTGGCTTGTTTAACCTTCACAACAACTGTATTAACTGTACTATGACCTCCATTTTTACAGATGAGAAAACTTAGAGAGCGTAAGTAACTTCTCCTCGTCACACATCTAGAAGCCAGAATTTGCTCACAAGGCAATGTGCTCCAGAGTCCCCACTCCTCACCACAGGACCATAATACCTCACCAAAAATAACAGCTAGCATTTAGCATTTATTCGGCACTAGAGCTCTACCTCTAATAACCTATAAATCACCATGATAACCCTATGAGGTCAATACTATAGTTATCTGTATGTTACAAATAAGGGAACGAAGGCAAAGAAAGGTGACTTGCCTAAGGTTACACAGCTAGTAAAGTCCCAGTGACTTGCCTCGGGTCACAGAGCAAGCCCAGATTTAATCCAGCAGTCTGGCCTCAGAGTTCACTCTCCCGAACACTATTCTCTCTGGATTCTCGGTGTTTCAGATTTGCTACCAGAAATGAACACGTTTTAACGGGAAGTCAGACGAAGGAACTGCGAAGTGTCTGAGGATCACCCGGGCCTGCTCTCCCTTGGGGCCTCATTTCCACTCCCTTGATCACCTCCCACTCATCCCCTCGCTACTATTTCATCTCCACCAGGATTCTGCCTCACCAACTTAACCGGAGGTAACTCTCCCTTTAAATCAGTTTGAGAAACAATGAATGAATTCTTGAATCAAGTTCTGAATCCAATGTCAAACTGCAGTGTAACCACACTGCATAGAAATACCTACTAGGAGATCGTGCTATTACAATCCAGCAGCAAGAAAAATGAGCAGGAAGGTGGTAGACATTTTTCATGAGACAACAGCACAAAAAAACATTTCCTGTAGAGACTGGAAGCAAGGGCTTGGGTATATATGAAGTAAAGGGCAGTCCAACTGGCTAAAGATGACAGGAAAAACACAGTAAAGGAGAATTAAACAGCTCTGTGTTAACTAAACTTCCAGAAGTCCCAGCGCTACCACACAGGTAAAATTCACCATGCTGCAAAGCTGACCACTGTCTTCAACGCTTGCTCAAGAGGTTTCAACTCCATGAAGATCATTTGTTTTCATCGACTGTCCCCCAATCTAGGACAATTATAAATGGAAGTGAATAAACAGAAACTTGAATTGCAGCAATTTTAGTAGACCTATCTATCCCAAAAAGCAACAGTCATCTATCTTTAGAACCTCAAGCCTCCCCTTTAGAGAACATTTCCATGCAGGATCAGTGCAGATTTGCCTTCCCAGACAACAGGAAGACAGGGCCAGCGCCAGAAATGCAGCAGCACTCAACGATGCCTAATGCTAACTGCCCGGCATGTTCTCATTGACCTCTGACCTCACCACAAACTCTAGAAAATGATTTCCTCTTCTTTTCATCTCAACAATTCATGTCTCCAAATCAAAAAGTGGCAGAAAGAAGCAACCCATTCTGTTTAACTTCCAATCTGAATAAAATCTAGGGAAAAGAAACGCAAATCCATGGCTACATGACACTGAAGACCAAGAACGTGTTTTCCATTAACACAGAAGCACCACAGCTATCCACGGTCTCCTACACTTGGATAAATCTGCCAGTTGGACAGTGGCTGGTGCATTTGTATCTTACGAGGAGGGAAGTAGCTGCCACAGGCTTAACTCATCAGTATCTACAAAGATGCAGCATGTAATTACTTAACAGGATCTTCATGCTTTGGTGCACACAAAGCAGTGGCAACTGTATATTTAAAACAAAGACCTTGCTTGTGTTGATGAACCACTTTCAAATCTAATCCTTTCAAGGTCGCCAGGGTCATTACTGTCAGTTACAAAAATGCAGGCAGAGTAACTCACAGCTGACCAGCTCCAACACTCTTACCTTTAAAGTTTTATAGTAAATGGCCCTGTTGATTTCCAGCGGAAATAAATTCTGCTCTTCTCCTGAGCAAGCCCAATTCACATATCGCAGCCAGTTCCCCTTCTCTGGGTCGGTGGCATCAATGCACATCCATCCCAAATTTGGGTAATACACCTTGGGGGAGGAAGGGAGGAAACGCAGTAGTTAAAATAGGAGTGTCTTTAAAATGTTTCCATTTTCAACTTTCAAAACAATTCTTCATCGTATTGCAATATTGTACAAAACATTTCACAGAAACAAAATAAGCAACAGAGAGAAGAAAACTAAAAGATGAAAACGGGGAGATCCAAAATGGTAATCCTCATTAAGTCATTTCTCTATCTGGGCTGGAGTCATTTTTTTCTCCTAAACTTTAACACCTACAGCAAATAAGTGTAATGATCTCTAAATGCTCTACAAATACTGTCTGCGCACGAAGACAAGCGATAACTCCATTCCCTAAATGTAACTTGAAAAGAAGAGTGAGCTTCCGGCAGCACCCCACTGCACCCAGGTCCCCTAAGCGTTCTGGGTTGTTCTGCAGGTCGAGTGTGGGGCGGTGGGGGCGGGGGGCCCGGTCCTGCCGGACTACACAGTTCCGCGGGTTCCTTTGCTTCAGTAAGTGAACATGTAGTGTGAACCTCAACATGGGTGATGGCACACGACGCTTTTGCAATCTCAGCTGACCCTCCAAACCTTCTCTACCTAATCATGTTAGGACTAAGGTACTATGGAACATACTCCAGGAAGTATCGGTGTCCTTCCAAAGAAAAGACTGGAAACCTGATCCCTCTTCAAGGACTCAGAGCAAACCTACTCTTCCACCGTCAGTCAATGTCCCCACCCACCCCTGCCATGCTTCCAGCACTTCTCATTTCTGCATTTTAAAGAAAATCTATTTAGCAACTATTTTTAATTTTTATCTTTGTATACACACACATACCTATATATACACATATATAAATACATATACATATGTGTATTTATATATATATATTTTTTTTTTTTTAACTTCCTCCCAAACTAGACTGTAAAACACTTGATTAGGCACTGAAACAGAACCGCAGGATCAACTGGTGATAGACCTGTCAAAAATAAAGCAAAAGAACTAAGTCTCTTACATTCTCTTTAGGAAGAAAGGAAAGAACCTCAATGCTTCCATTCTTCCCTCCACATACTCAGCCAGGACGCCCCCACGCATCTCTTCTTTTCTCTCCTATCTACATTACACTTCTTTACCGCAGCCTTCCCTCTGGAACAAAGCTCTCACACTTCACCTCCCAGCCCTTCTGAGCATGCCTGTGTGTCCCAGCCTGTGTCTGTCAGGGGGCAGCAACCACCTTCCTGTGTACTAACCATTCTTCTTTCCTGCTGGGAGTCAGATGTCAGGCACAATGCTATATGCTTTCCGTATCATCTCATTTAACCCTATGTAGCAGGTTCATTATATCTTTTTTTTTAACATGTGGAAATTGAGGATCAAACGTTCAACTGGACTTTCCCAAAGCCACCCACTTAATTAAACCCAATCTGCCTGACCTTGACCATACTTAACAGCACCTTCCTCGACCATCCTAGTTAAAACCGTAAATCCTTCTCTTCCCATCAACCGCCAGCCATATCGCCGATTTATTTTTCTTCATAGCGTTTATGCTCTTTTAAAGTATGAGATCAGCTCCTTATTTTATTTAGTGACTGCATCCTCACACCAGAGCATAAACTCCATGAAGAAAAGACACGTCAGCCTTTTCGCTGACTGGAGCACTCCCAAGACCTGACCAGAGCCCGGCACTGAGTAGGCTCTCAATGACTAACTGTGGAAAGGAGGAAAGGAGGAAAGGGTGTCACACGAATGTGTCGCTGCCATCAGGTAACGAGCACGGACTATGTGACAGGCACCATACCATGTCCCGTAAGTTTCCCCTATGAGTTTATTCAGAAATTGGCTCTCTACTGACCATCTACCTGAACCACTCTAAGGAAAAGTTATCCGCGTCGCATTAGACCTCTTTTCAAACTATCATTCACCCTCCGCTCACACACACACATGCATGCACACACACTCCCCTCCCTGCAAACAGAGAAAGGGAAGTCCCCAGACGGTAGAGACAGCATCACAATGCAAGATTTAAAGTGACACTTCACACACCAAATAATAGAAGGGGCTTTACTTTATAACGTTTAAGAGACATCCGCCACATGTGCCAGCATGACGGGATAAGGGAAAGGGAGTAGTTGTACTTGAACACTGGCAGTCCGTTTTAGTTACTTTTTACTAACTTAGGGATCAAAAGTGTTGTTTCGATTTATCACAGTGGATGGCAGAGTCCTACTCACTCCCCATCAACACACTGACACCGATCCAGAAATCAATGGGACGAACAAAGATGGTGCTGGAAAACCCCACACAGTCAAAGAAGGCAGGTGGGGAGAGACACCAAGTCTGCCCACCAACCTGAGGATAACAGTACCAGCTGTGCCCGAATTTCCTGGCTCCCAGGTCAACACAGAGACCTCTGTGGCCCATTTGAGTGAATTCCTTATTTATGTATGGTTCATTTTGTTTCAAAATGGATAAAAGCATCTGCTAAGTCATACTTAAATACTTACTTCATAGAAAAAGATGAACACCTCAGTTTTTTTAAATGTGCAAAAATAATTCACAAAGGAATACACATGGCCAAAACCTCATAAAAAAATACTTTTAATTAGTTTAAGTTAGTTAAACTAATTAAACTAAACTAGAAATTTAATAATCAAAAAATAACTTCAAATTAAATAATTTTTACCTATCAAACTAGTAAAAAGAAATTTTTAAGAGAAAAAAAATTAGAAGGCAAACATCCCCCCCAAACAGGGATTAGAGACTAAATTGGTATCATTTTTTGGATGGAATTTAGCAGTCCATGACAAAAAAAAGCTTTAAAGTGTACACACACTTTAGCCAGCATATACACATACAAGAATTTATTCTCATGACATAATTGGCAATTATACCAAGATGTATGTACAAGAACATTCCCAACAGTGTGGTTTATGACAGACTGTTTCCCGTTAATTGCTAAGTGGAAAACACAATGGATCAGCTCAGGATGATAATCCATGCACACAGAAGAATACTAAGCAGGCATTAAAAAGTACTTTTGTGTAAATCATTAGTTGGTTTATGTGGAATCTTCTATTTTGTTACATATTTCTGTATCCCATAAGAATTTTTCCAATGAGGGGGCCTGGGTGGCTCAGTCACTTAAGCATCTGCCTTCGGCTCAGGTCATGATCCCGGGGTCCTGGGATCGAGCCCCACGTCAGGCTCCCAGCTCAGCGGGGAGTCTGCTTTTCCCTCTCCCTCTGCCTCTCCCCCTGCTTATGCTCTGTCTCTTTCTCTCAAACAAATAAATAAATCTTTAAAAAAAAAATTAAACATAGGAATACATGAAGAGAAAAATAACCTGACACTAAATACATGAAAACGTTAGTAACGGTTTTCTCTGAAAAGTGGGATTACCCATCATTTTCTTTTCTTTCTTCTGCTTATCTGAATTTTCTGCCTTTCCTCCACTGACTTAGTATAATCTCTAAGTAAAAAAGGATGTGGGTGGGGAGAGCAAGTTAGTTTCCAGCATGAAAGCCCAAGTGTGACTAAAGGAAGCCGAGGCCTGCTGACGCTCCTTCTCCTGCCATCACCATCACACACACATTTTTTTTTTAAACATATGTAGCTTTCTCATTTTTATTGAGAGTCTAACCTTATAATTAGGAACGGGGATGAAAACGTGTTTTTATACAATTTCTACCTTAGTTGGTCAAATCTTGGTTTCCAATCGGAATTCACTTCAGTGACAGACACGCAGAACCCAAATGTTAAGATGTGACAGCACTCTGCTTAATGTTAACTACCACTTCTAGACGGCAAAAGTGATGCAACACCATTAGGCTAGGGTAGTGGAGAACCAACTAGAATTCCTTCCTTTCACACAAAGATAACGCAAAGGCAGGTAAAACTCCCACTCTAGCTCAGACTCAACAAATGATATGCAACAAATCTATTTCTAAATCTTTATAATGACCAAAAAATATTTTCATATGCTCAATAATTTTTCCTGACCCAATCTATAAAACAGTCCCTTTTAACAAAGCAAGGGCACCTGGTTATGTATATGCAAACAACTTTTACAAATTAACTTTCAAATGGAAATTCCCTACTTGGAGAAAAAGAACTCAAGGAGGAATACCTCCACCCCAAGCACTGGGCTAGATACTTAATGTGTTATTTTATTTAACCTTTACAAGAACTCTATGAAATATTACTAAACCCCCTTTTTAAAACAGGACACTATGGAAGGTTGGTAATTTTACTAGAACACTAAGGACACTAAAAGTCTGAGCCAAGATTCAAACCTGGTCCCCTCATTTATGCCTCCATTTCAATTTTCCTCTTTCCAAAACCCTCCTCTCATCCTTCACTTTCCCTCCATTATCCAGGCCAGATCTCCTTTCTGCCCTTACCACTGAACACAGACTGGATATTAACTCTTTGTCAAACGAAACATAATCTTCATACCACTCAACTTCCATTCAGTTTAATCAGTCATTTTGAAATAGTCATAAAATCAAAATTTAGTACATACTCCAATTTAAAAATGCATCAAAATTAAAGCTTCCTGGCGCATAAAGGATGTTTTGCAAAGAACAAACCAAACTGTGAAACATAACTTACCTCATGGGTTGGGATGAGAGTTTTCACTTAGATCCTTCCTTATCATTTACTTGTTCTATTCTACACGTGTTAATTCAAACTTATAAATTGAAAAAAATTCTCATTCAGTTAATGCAAATGTACATCATTCAAATCGTCAACTGCTTGCCTATGAAGCCCTTACCCACTCTCAACTTACAGCAACCAACTTCTGAAAGTTGATTTCTGAAAAATCACTCCCAGGAATTGAAAGGACACTGAAGATGTCTCCTCATACTGAATCAACTCTCATGCAGAGATACACCTTTTATGCATCCAAACAGCCCCCCCAAAATTAAGAGTCTACAGTGATAAAGCCATTCTGTTGGCTGTTCTCTGGACTTGCCCTTCAAAGAGCTCTAACACATCATTAATGGCGGGACAGAACCCCTCCTGGAGG